AACGCGTATAATATTTATATATATATATATATATATATATAGGCGAAGAAAGTAAAGACGTAAGAGAGATAAAATATTCGTGCCAGGCAACGGTGTTTAAAGTCTCTTTTACGAGTTCTATCTATTCTCATTCGTGTGTAGCGACACCTCTGCGCGATGCGTGCAAGGGAGAGGAGAACACTTGTGAACCGACACTCGAACAAACCAGACGTCGATATACGCATCCTAAGTACCCTATTATCATAATTTACATCGACCGTTTTAAACCTTGCATCGACTACTTTGCGTTCGGGAAAAATGATGCATCGTCCCTGTACGATGAATGAATGATAATCTACGAATTCTCTCGCTCCCCTAACTTTCGCTTTATTGAACTTAGAAATTAGAAAGAAAAATAAAATTCGAGAGAGTAGAAGAAGGCGTACGTTCGATACGTGTTTAACAACGCAGCCACATCGTCTATCTATCGCACCAACAGCTTTGGAAAAGCTGGGATCCACGCGCGTTATTTAATGGACGGACGAGCGACGATGAAAGGACGAAAAGGATGGAACGATCGCTATACCCGAATCCGTTGCGAACCGCATCGACCGTTTGTCGCCGTTGGCGACACGGTGCGAGAGGATAACTTCCGGCTGACGAACGAACGTTGGATCTTTCCAGATCCAACAACGATGCTTTCGATACCATCCACGATTCTCGAACGAATCTCGCGAATGATACGCGACGTATCTTTTTAACATACACGTTTATGTATATATCGGTGATTATTAGCGCGGAATAATGGAAATTAAAAAAGGTTACTGGCTTCGATGATCTCACCGCTTTGCGCGCAACCGCGTCTTAATAACAAGAAATTGAAATCGACTCGGGTAAGAGGCTCGCGATAAATTACGCGCATTACGTATATATTCTCGTCTCGCGCGACTGGAATTTCAACAAGATCGAGCCAACTCGTTCCTCTCGAACGTTCTAACTCGCGAATTGTTCTTAATTAACGGATACCGTAAACGCGTGCGATTGGGTTTGCTCTCGAGTCCAGTGTAGAGAGAGAGAGAGAGAGAAAGAGAGAGAGAGTCTAATCGAGTTTAAGCGATTTTTCTTCTTTTCGTTTCTTTCGTTTCTACGTGAAAAATCAAAACGATCGAGGCACACGGTTAAGGAACATTGGCGCGATTTGTTGTATATATGTATATATATATATATCGATCGAGTTTTCTCCTCCGTGAAACTCGCGTAATTTGAATAATCGCTAGATTAACCGGCTGAATTAACTTTTTTTTTTTTTTGCTTCGAGGAACGCCTTCTTCGCCTCTGGATAAACGTCGCGGCTTGATTAACCTATCTCGCGATCATTGAAGAAAGATCGAAATTCGCGGATGAAATAGGCGGGGAATAGATAGAATTTGCACGCGCTTCGCGTTGGGACGCGAAGGAGAAGGAACCGTGGTCGAAATGATGATCCTCCTCCTTCTCTCCACCTGCCCCCACCCTTTCGTAGGCGTCCCGCGTGCCTACGTGCCGGTGTGCGCACTCTCGAAGCGAGTGCAGAGTCCCCTTGCACACGTGGCCCCGGACGCGACGCGAAGAGCCGGGCGGCGTGCACGAAAAGTCGGCGAGAGCACAGGACGATCCGGTCGGGACTACTGCTGCCTATAGGCGCCTGTGCAACCTAGAGTCCCCGCGATTCAGCCGCGACTATAGTGTTTAACAAACGTGCACAGCCAGTCCATTCGCGACCGGCAGCCGGGCTGCACGCTCGGAGAACCTCTTTGTCCGCCGAGTCTATAAATAATTCGCAAGAAAGCGAGATCCTGGAGAACGCGAATCGATCCCACGTCTTTTTCCAAACTTTATCCGCCTCTCGTGATCCGTTTCTCGCCTTCCTTCCTTCCTTCCTTCCTTCTCGATTACGCTGAGTCCCTCCTCGTTAACGATCTTGCTCTCGATCGTCTGTTTCCAAGGAGAGGGAGGAGGAGGAGGAGGAGAGAGAGAGAGAGAGAGAGAGAGAGAGATTCTTTGTTCGGTGAATCCTTGGATAACGCGGATCGACGATGCCCGATACCGCTACCACCACCTCCTCGGATCCATGGCGGAGGTAGAAGGTGCGAAAATGTGAAAGGAGAATTTTCTGGCCGCTCCGTGCCGGCCGAGGATCGAGAGAGGAGAGGAGAAAGTGTCTCGAACGGGCATTTTGCCTCTCGCGATGACGCGTGGCCCGTGATTTGACGAGAATAGGAAATTTCCGCGCGTACGTGTATATGTGCGCGCGCGCGCGTTGTGCGGTGTATGTGTGCGTGCGCGTGCAACGTGTCTAATTATAAACATCTCGGATTGGTGGTGGACACCGAGTGTCTCTGTGCCTGTGACGAAGGTTCGTTTTCGCGCGACCATGTCGAATAAAGGATCACGGAACGGATTCGAGCCGAGCGGAAAGTTTGGAAAAGTTGACGGAGCCGCGATCGATCGAGCATGAAATCGATGGAAGGCGAAGGGACGCGAGGCGGAGTGAACAGTGAGCGTCTCGCGAAACATCAACGGAGCCGTCGATCCGCTTTGCAACCGGTCCTCCATCGTCGCCATTCCGAACGATCGAAGATCAATTGTGGACGACTCCCTTCTCGATCGAAAATACATCCGACTCGAGACACGGAGACGGAAAATCGTATATTATATCGAGACACGGGCTCTCCTATCCTATTGGCTAGATTCTTCGTGGTACGAATCGGTGGATAAGCGGGGAGGTGGAGAGCGGGGAAGATACAACGCGTAGAAGATACTCGAGAAGGAGTTTCTAGAAGCGACGTCATCGATGTAACGACCGACAGCGAGACTGTTTATCTCTTGGCTTGTCCTTCGTTGACACCGATTAAACGAGGCACAGAGCGACGCTTATTGAGCGGATCACTTCCGAGCGAGCTGGCAGACGAGGACTGGCATCGACTACGCTCCTGTCGATGCCACTTAGAGAGCGGTTTGCTGCCACCTGCCAGTGTCGGTGACGCGCGAGTGCCTCTCCTCCCCTTTTCCCAATTCTTCCTCGTATCTCGAACGTTCTACTTTTTTTCTCGACGACGATTCGCCCACTCGGCGAACCTCGGTGATCGAAAATTTTCGAATAAGAAAGAACCTTACGACCTTGTGACCTTGTACACAGGAAGTGAACCATCTTCTTCGACTCGGCCAAGTCGAGTAACTTGTTCCGAGAATTCGTCGTTTATTGTTTCGACAATTTCGATTCCCCAGGATTTTCCTAACTCGAACTCGATTTTTACGAAGAACAATGAAGACGTTGGTCGCGCGTCTATCGCTTCTGCTAAATTGGACTCGTTTATAACTCGTGCAATCGAGACTTGGCCAGATAAGCGCACTTCTCCGACTCGATCGTCCCTCGACCTCCATCCAAATCCCAAACGACAAACGGAATCATTGAGACGGTAATCGTAACGTTCCTAATCGTGCGGTCGTTCAAAGTTTGTCGACCAACGTCTCGACAATTGGACGAAGGAAGATACGTGGAGCATTGCCCACGCAGCTTAACAATTTATTTAGAAATTCGCTGACCAGCAGCCTCCCTTATTCCCCGAAGTCACGTGTCGGAATCTCGCTCGAGATTGATCCCTCTCGGACGGCGTTAAAAATATCCACGATTCGACTCGGATCGATTTCCACGAAATCGAACGAGACGTGGCTCTCGATCGTTCAACGAACGTCTCGATAAAGAATAATCGACCGGTCCCCTCCAGACTGGCAAGGTCGGGCGGGGACGTTCACCGATTCCTCGAGATCCTCGCGGTGCGAAGACTCGATTCGAAAGAAGCGAGGAGAGAGAGAGGGAGAGTAAAAAGGGGGAGGCAGAAGTCTGGGCAGAAGATCGACGAGTGGAAAAGGAGGATCGCTGACGACGAACGCGTCGACGAGGACGAACACGACATTCTAGCGGGGACACTCTAGCAAGAATAGAATCGAAACGGCGCCACGATTCCCTGGAACGAAGCCTCGCGATCGTTGCACCTGCCGCTATCTGTCAGCCGGGTAAACGCTGTGTGTAAAACCTTGGGGCTCGTTCGCCAGAGCGTTCCTCCAACGAGAGCATTTCGCTCGTTTCCCTTCTTTCTCGCTGTGCGCGTGCGCGCGCGTGTGTGTGCCGCGTTTCCTCCTCTGGAACTAGATTTCTCCTCTCGGCAGAATTAATTTTTCGCGACCGTATCGTCGAGGGTAAAGAGATTGGACGTTTAAGTGTGTTCGATCGAAGATCTTGGATGGTCGCGCCTTATTCTAACGAGAGAAAAGGATAAATGGATAAAAAGTGAATTCGCGGGAATCCGGTCCCGATGCAAAAATTGATCGAACAGTTCTGGATGATGGATTAAAATTTCCAGAAGAGATCTTGATCTTGATCGTAACCATATTCGTAACGTTGAAGAAAGAAAAAAAAGAAACGTCATCGATCGAACGGGACGAAGGTGTGTGTGCAACGTGAATCATCGACCGTGTCCACGTTAATCGCGTTTAAATTTATCGTGTGATCGCATCCGACAATTTTCTACGAAAAATTTCGTAATTTTGTAATAATAATAATAATGATGGGAAGGAAGGGGCGAGATTCGAAGAGAGGAAAATCCGATTGATCGGCAATCCGATTGGAATCGACACCAGTTGGAGGAAAGGAGCGAGCAGCCTCGAAGCCACGCCTCGTCGCAAAAAAAAGAAAGACGCGCAAGAAAAAAGGAGAGGCAAGGACGATCGTGCGGAGGTGGCGCGCGAAATCGGTGGCTTGACCACAGCCAAGATCGAGTGACGTCAAAGCTTTTCGCTCGAAGGAAGCTCGAAAAGGAGGGAGAGGATGCGACCGGATCGCTTTGCGCCTGCTGGAACCGTTAAATATAGCCGGAAGAATTTCCCTGGCATTCGCGCGCCCCGTTTTGCTCGATTTTCCTAGGCCCGCGATTTATGCGAAACGACTGCGTTTCAACCCCTCTTCCCTCGCCCGTCATCCTCCTCGTCATCGTCCACGCTGCGTCCACGCGACGTATCGAATCAGTGCGATTACTACACGCAACCCTCTCTTCTCTTCTCTTCTCTTCGAGATCTCTCAAAGGGGGAAAAAATGCTGATCACCAAGTACACCACCATTTTGCTCCAGTCAACCAATCAGCACATTCTCAGGTGAGTGGTATTCGGATTCCGATCAACAAGTTCGATGCAAGTTGGTCGGCAAGCGTCTCGATTCGCGAGTTGGACGCGAATTTTATTTAATAAAAGAAAACTTACCGAATATAAAAATAATTAGCAACGCGATGACGATTTCGTTCATTCATTCGTGTAACTAAATAGAACTAAATAAAAAAGAAAACCGGTAATTAATAATTACGCTTACGTAGTCAATTTCCGAGTGGTAATTGAAGCTCTGTGGTATATCTATCGCGATTTATCTTGGGAAATAATCGAACGGGGTGAGGAACGAGAGAAGTTCGTTGGTCGTTTCTTCCTCGAGAAAATCCATTATAAGAATCTAAAACGATCTAAAATTTTAGAAATGAATCGTTCAAAGATCCATTTCGATGAAAATGAGAGTTTCGAAAATCTACAAAAAAAAAAAAAAGAAAAAAAGCGAACAAGACGTTCCACGTATCTTTTCAATTCGCATTTTGCATGGAATGTCTCGTTTCGATATTATTTTTTCGAATTGCGTCTCGTATTTGTAATTTTCGTTTACGATTAATCCGTCTCGATCCTTTCGTTATTATTTTTATCACTTTCACCCAAACATACGATGAATCATAGCGCGGCACACGAGGCGCAATGGCAGATCGTGAATTCGAAGTGTTGAGCAGAATCGCCGTTTACGGAGGAGCGGCGAAAAAAATTCGACCGAGCGAGAATTTAAATTGAATGGGACGTCGCGATGCGATTCGCAAATTCATGGAAGTGGATCGAAATTTAATTCACCGATGATAAATCGAACCGCGCGCCGAGGCATCTCGAAGAGCGACGCCGCGTCGTTGAAACTACGTCGCGAATCTCCCCCTCTACCCCTCCCTAAGTCTCTACATCCTTTTTCCCCGTCGTTTTTATCGATCGCAAGAGAAGAAAATTCGCGAACGTTGTATTTTCCCACGTACTTGGTAGTTTCCGCTTGAAAAAGATCGCACAACTATAACTATCCGTGCCATATCGCGAGAATGTATACTGTGCTTGTTCGTTGCTGGCAGAATTGTTGGGCGTTGAAAAAATAACTAGTTAAAAATTTCGAATAAAGATACTTTGGGTGATTATTTATCAAAATGTTTGAATAATATTTATTCGGCCATTATTTGGAATTATTATTACGTTTTGAACGATAAGTTAAGTACGAAATAACTTGTTCGAATAACTTTATTCGATTATTGAATTTTGCTTCCATCATTGACTGGTGGAAAGAAGTCTCGCGGAAGGAATGCGGTTCTGATCGATCAATTTGGAAGGAAATTATTATTTTTACACGCATTTTTGTTTCTATTTTAATATTCGTCACGTGCACCGATCCAAAACGATGATATCCAAACTTCGATGCATTAACGTGTAGGCAATAGAATCCAGAGAATTCTAAGGTATAATACGATACGATATAAAAATTTTATTTATCTTCCCATCAATACGTGCAGGCTAATTAAGATTTGTAATTTTGTAATTTCGTAATAGTTAAGATAATGATTGTATGTATACGTATTATAGCTAAACGTACTATAGATAGTTTCGAAAATATTTCAGCTTCCAGTCTTAGATCCTTAACGTAACTTCGTAAATTCAAATCATCAACTCTTCTACTATTAGCACGCAGCAGTGACGGGGAAAATTTAATAGTTGAAGTTACGAATGAACTTACTATCAATAATTTATCGTTCAAACGTAATTGGAAATAATTGGAAATAATTGTAAACGGCCGTGGTTATGCGAGAAGCTGATCAACTATCTGACTGAAATAAAATACGAACAAATAAAGTAACTTTATTCCCAATTTTTAACTCGGTTACTTTTTCAACGATTTCATGCTCGACATTGCTACGTGTGTAGCGCGTGGTGTTAGGATCGTCAACAAACCGTTCGAAGCGGAGATAAGGACTCCTCTTGCCCCTGTGCCCCCGCTTCTTTCCACCAGCGAACCATACGAAGGTCGAATTTCTTCGATCGCGGACGAAACGAAAACAATTTACGGGCTAAAAAGTAATTCGAATCTTGGGACGAAACTTGGACTCCTCGTAGATTTTACTTGTTCCCACGGGTAGAGAGCAAGGTGTATACCCGTGTACACGATTAAGGAAAGGTGCGGAGAAATACGATGGCGCGGGAGATAGGCGTAAATCTGGCGTGCGAGGCCACTAATGAAAGAGGGCAGGAATTTATCGTCGATATAAATTGTCCCCGGATGTCGGACATCCGGCGGCCGTTCGCCATCGATCGCGTGGCCCGCGAACAGGAGGGGGGCGAGGAGGATGGAGAAGAGGAGAAAAAACGCACGTTTTGGTTCGGCCTTTATTGGTCTCGAGTGGCGAAGGCGAAGCAGCTCGAAGCCCGGTTTAATTAGGCGATCGAAAGCGGGCCGGGGCGAGAAAGATCGACGCGGACGGCACAATAACGAGAGGGGGGGGGGCCTCGTTAGAGGGCGGCCCGATCGAATCGACCGTTCTATTTCCCGCTGACAAACGACCCTTCTACTTCTTCTCTTCGCGGTTTCGTGTACGCAATTATCGGCCTGTTGCTTCGGTATAGTTGCCTCGCGCATCGCGCTCTTTCCAATCTCGCGTGGGTGGCTGCAACGATCATTGTCGCTTCTCCCGCCCGCGCGTATCGATCCCCGGAGCCACGGGCTTTGGAACTTTCGAGCTTCGAGGTTGGATTACATACCCGTGGATGAAATTTTGAAAGAGCAAGAGCAGATTATTCGTGGAGAAAATTCTATCGCGTTAACCCGTTGAAAAACTAATTAACTAGTTGAAAATTTCGAACAAACTTACTTATTCGATAATAAGTTTAATAGATCCGCTTTTCGTGCAATCGCTCGTTTGCCATCGCAATTATTTCCGATTGTTATTACGTCGAGAACGATAAATTATCGAAATAACTTATCGAAGTGATTTTATTCGTAAGTTTGATTATTAAAATTTATCCATCGCTGAGCGAGAAGAAAGGAAATACCTATTTTCACGCGTATTTTTATTTCTACCATGATATTCGTCGCATACGTTAATCCAAAATGGACGATCTGTATCCAAAATTGGACATTGACCCGTTGAAAAACTAACTAGTTAAAAAATTCGAATAAAGTTACTTTATTCAATGATAATTTATTCGTATAGCCTATATTCTCGATTATTATTATGTCGAAAACGATAACTTATCGAAGCAACGTACTTCAAAGTTTGCCCACCACTGTCCCACGCGTTCTACCTTCTTCCTCCTCTTTGTACCCCGATCCTTTTCCAAAAATGGCCACCGATCGGTCGACGACGAAGTACAGGGAGCGAAGCGCACAAAGAACCCGGACGTTTCTGTTCTCGAAATCCGATGACAAGAAACGGGGGGAAAGGAGAGAGAGAGAGAGAGAGAGAGAGCTTCTGTCGGGCGCAGAATGAAGAATATGCTAATGGCCGCGTGTCGTCGAGCCAAGTCACGTCGTAAAAGGAAGACCGGGCCCCTTCTCGACGGCCAGTCGCAGAGAATCATGCTCCAATATTTTTTATTTATTTATTTTTTTTTTCTTTTCTTTTCGAGACGGGATACCTGACACGAGTACCTCGTCCATTGATTATTTTCAACTAAAAATTATTTGTCCCCCGTTGAGGAAGGAAACGAAAGAAACGATTGTTCGAGTTGGATGGAAAAATATCCAGGATGGAAAAAAATCTTTAATATAGAGTAGGTCGTAGAAGCAAAAGTTGAAATCGAAACGATAAGAAGGAGGATTGGAATGCGATGAACGAGCGTAACGGATAGCAGTTGCACGACAAATATAACACGGTTGGAGTTGTGTTGGCGATTGCTTCGTTCCCATTGTAATATATGTCGCATCACGATAATTTCATTGTGCTCGACCTCCATCCTTTCCTCCCCGTCGTCTCTTTTCTCCTCCTCGACCTTTTACTTTTCGTTCCCTCGATACGAAAGCGAAAAAAGAAAAGAAAAGAAAAGAAAAGAAGAGAAAAGGGAAAAAAAAAATGCATTCACTCCTCGCCAAGTTCGCGTGGAATCGGAGACGAGCGGTGACAAGAAATGCTTTCACCCGTTGGATGCGCGGTGTGCTCGCTCGGCTTGTTTTCCGTTCTCGATTGTCTCGCGGCTCGGTGTCGCAAACGGCGGCACAGCTCGATCCAATTTGTCCCTTTGGCCTCCAACTCCGGCCACGGCTTTAAAGCCGAAACTTTTAATTAAAAAGTAACCATCGACCGGCGGGGAGGAGGAGGGAGGGACGGCCGGCCTCGAGCAATTTGCGGCGATATATAAAACTTCCCTTCCTTCCTGCCGGAAACAAGGCGGAGGCAAAAAGCGAGGAAACGTCTCCGCGATCGCTCTCCTTCGAACGGAGAAGGTCTCCGCAATTTAACTCTTTCGCTATGGGCGACTTCTCCGCCGCTCAACCAAAAATGTGCTCGAGAAAGATCGTAAACGGTCGCGTTCACAATTCGAGTTGCTTCGACACTCGTGTTTAAAACGAAATACGTTTCCAGAGAAGGATAACTCCGATCTCACGTAGAATACGCGGTATTTTATGCAGAGTATTTTATAGTTGCCCATCATAGCGTGATGGCGTTCTTCGATTCCTGAAGAAAATCGATCTATCCCACCAATCTTCCAATTCTCATCCATTTAAAAGGAAATATTTCAAGATTGCCGCGAGTGTCAGGCGGGATTCGTGGGGGATCGTTTGTCGGAGGAGGGCAGTTAAGCAAAATAATGCTTAATTAATTCATTAAAAGGAGGAGTGCGGGTCCCTTTCCAGGATCTCGTACGGCCAGCGGGGAATTGGTGTTTTGAACACGGGTGGGTCCCGCGGGAGGCAAGAGTCGGAAACGGGGAAGAGCCAGCTATTAAACCCACGGGATAAGTCCTGCCACTTCGCTCGCTAATTAAATTATTCCGCCTCTACCTGCCCTTGGCGGATCCACCACCAAGCATCTTTGTGTACAGGT